CCTTGGCCAGATGTTGAAATTTAAACACCCCGTTCATGAGCCAGTAGATGTATGAGTAGCAGCAGACATAGGGCGATGGCCTAGCAAAGACATTGTTAATATGCAGAATTGCAGATTTACACGTGCACATGCACACACAATCAAAGGCTGTTGTCTAAAGTTCTGTTGTAACTCGCTGCTTTTTTAAACCAACATAAATTTCAGCTATTGAGAGCTTTGTTTCAGAAAAGCATACCGTTATATCTGACACCTGATAAATGTTTCATTTCCTTTGATTCCAAGCAATACTCTTCTAACCCTTTTCCTACAAGAGCCTGGTGGGATCTTGATTGTCTCACCAGATTTTCTGACTGTGCAACCACTATTAAAGTTGCATATTTAACTTTAACGAATGCCATTCTTGATTGTTCATTTAATTTATAAGCCAACGTTGTGTCACGTTTAAGTTTTCTTGTTTTTTATCTTAAGTAGAAAATGATTTGATATCCACATCACTTTGAGTAAAAGTCGATTTTTTTTTTTTTTTGTCCTTCGTGAACTGTAATTAGACTACAGCCTCGAAAGCAGAGTGGTATTTCCCTTCAGCTGTTCACTATGTTTCACTCTTTCCATGCCTTCTCTTTGCCTCTCTTCCTGGGAACTCTTCTCGCTTTTCGTGAATGAAAAGCTGCATCTCTTAATGCAAGCTGTAGCTGTTTATTGGTGACAGAGTTAACATTGCCAAAGTAATAGATTTATTTCACTCCAGAGGATTGACAGTCATCTGTAAATAAGTGTGACAGATGGATTTTCAGTAGAGATCGACCGGAGAGTTGTGTGAGCCCAGACAGAAGATCTATTCAAACTGACTCTGCAGCAAATACAGACTTGATGTTTAACCAAACCACTCCTCCACCCACACAGTTTATGTATTTGAATCTTGTTTCTCAAGCTGTTTTGACCAATATTAATATTTGAGAATAGTTTTAAAGTACATCAATAATATTTTGGGCAGCATGGTAGCTCATTTGGTCGAGCTGCCTCCTCTCAGTGAGCAGATTGCCAGTAGAGTTGCATTTGGGCCAAAAGAATATGACCTGGCCCGGCCCCAGCCTGTAGCCATCATTTACGAACGCCACCTGACCCGCCGAATTAACAGTAATTACAGGTCCGAACCTGACACCCCCCCCCCCCCCCGACATTTTTAACTAAGCTTTTATTGCTTATATAGTTATTAAGAATTGGCGGACACGCACGGCTGAATAAAAGGGACAGAAAATCGGAGCTGAGGGGGTGTTTGTTCTTTCATGGCTGTTAAAGAGCTCGCTGCTTCTACTTGCATTCTGCATTGTTCAGCTACGGACCCTGCTCTACACGTCTGCTTTGGGATATCACCTGTTTGGGTCGTCGGCTGCACGCGTCCGCTGAGTGCAGTGGCTGAACGTCCATTTGGGCTATGAATCGCTTCCTGGCCGTATACGGCCGTGTGCGGCTGGTGATTGTATGGCAAACCATGTTGCCATATAATTGGATTGCAGCTGATCCACTGATCCAGCCTGCCCATCCAGCACATGGCCCAAATTCGGGTCGGCCCGGGATTCGGGTCCAGGTTAGAAATGACGGCTCTAGTTGCCGGATCAAATCCCAGCCGGGGACCTTTCTGGGTGGAGTTTGCATGTTCTCTCCGTGCATATGTGGGTTTTCTTCGAGTACCCCAGTTTAGAGCTGTCATTTCTAACCCGTAGTCCGACCTCGCCCGACTCGCATTCGGACCGGGTCGGGCTATAATAATGTGCTTAATGTGTGGACCGGGTCAGTGTCAGGCTTTTTATTGTGTCAGGAATGCACGTGGCCGATGATCCAATATAGGCAAACATGGCTTGCCATACAGTACCTGCCACATTTGGCCATTTCACCACATGCTGACCGGCCGGTTGAAAGAGATAAAAAGTTCAGTTAAGCTTCAGATGGGACTATACTGCCAGGCAGCAAATGGCCATCTCATCAGCCCAAATGGACATTCATTCAGCTGCTGCACTCAGTGGATGCGCGAGGCCAACGACCCAAACAGGTGACATCACAAAATATCCGACATGTCAGGGCAGGATGCAGGCAGAAGCAGAGGAAGCATTTAATGCGCTTTGACGGCTCCTCAGCTCTGATCTTCTGCCCCTCATCCGCGCGTATCCACCAACCATTAATAATAATCGGTGGTATAAGCAGTCAAAGCTTAATTAAAATTGTTGAGGATTTTTTTTATTTATTTTGGACCTGTACTTACTGTTAATTTGTTAGATTGGGTGAGGTTCGAAGATGATTGCTGCGGGCTGGGGTCAGATCGGTTTGGATTATTTGAACCAGAGTGCAACTCTACTCTGGTTTCCTCCCACAAAACAAAAAACATGCATGTTAGACCGATTGTCTCTAGGTGTGAGTGAATTGGTTGTTTGTCTCTGTGTCCCTGTGATGGACTTGTGACCTGTCCAGGGAGTACACATTGACTGCTGTATATGGACACCAGTGACTCCCATGACCTGAAAAAGAAAAAGTGGGTGAAAGATAATGGTTAGTTTGATCTCTTGTGCATTTTTTTTTTTAATTTTCATATCTCATTTGTCAGTCACTGCTTAATTTCTTATTAGTTTTAATTGAAGGCATAAAAAGTAAAGACAGCTGGTATAAAAATGTTGATTATAGTTGTTCTGATGTGCTATAAGCTAAAATACAGCTGCATGTGTCTTGATAAAACCGGAGCATTTGATCATGCATGCAAGTCTTTAAAAATTCAAATTACAGGATGAAACACATCATTTAATGTCCAATAACAAATATGTTGTTGATGTTTAGAGCGCGGTTGGAGTTCGATACAAACTGATAAGGCTCCTTCAGACGTCTGATTGAGCTGCAGTAAACTGAGGTTTCTGATCCGTTGTGCCAAGGAGGAAAAAACAAATCTGAGAACAAAGAAGTATGATGAATTTTTCATGAATGTGAACCGAGTCTCTCTAGGACCTTGCTCTGAAATATAAGCAAAAATTGACTGGAAAACTGAGATGTTAAGCAAAAAAATAAAAATCAGTTATTGGTACTCAGCGGGAATTTTCACGATATTTTTGTTTTAGTATTTGTTGTTGTTAAGTCCTGCATTTTCCAAGTGATGAAATCATAAAGACGACAGCAAACCATTGATCAAATAAGTTTGAAACTCTTGTTTTAAGATGGGACTATTTTGTTATATCGCAAGTGTTATTTAGATTGTTCATAAAATGAAAACTGATTAAAAAATGCATTCTGATTAGGATAGCAATGTGTTCAGAATTATGTTTAATGTCTTTATTGTTGTGTAAAGGCCTTTTTTTTTTTTTTTAGATGTTTTGAATATTTAAATGTTTGTGGCATGTCTCTAGCCAAAGATAACTATAAAGGTCACAAAGCATGTCCTTATGTATACTTTATGATTATTTCTTATGTATTTGATTTGCTTAATTTACTATTTATTTGTTAGCAAAATAGATGTACAGTAGTCCATCATGTATTGTGGGCTTTAGGGGCCACCCCACCCCCGCGATAAATGGAAAAACTGCGAAGTAGGGCTACTAGTGCAAAGTACATACTACTACAAAGTGGTAGTAAGTAATAGTTTATTTTAGTGTGTGTGTATAATAATACATATACATACATACACACACACATATATATATGTATATATATATATATATATATATATATATACATATATATATATATATATATATACAAAACCTGCCTACACTCTTGCAATATTCTAAATGATGTTTCTAAACTGTAAACGCTCTAAAAGAGCACAGCATGTCATGATCTCCTCTCTTTGCCACCTGCCTCTCTCTGCCAGCCCACTTCTCTGCTGCAATCACTCCCATCACCTGCTCTCAATCTTCCTCCTCCTCTGTAAACAATTAAAATCTAAATACTGTGATAGTTTAAATGGGATTGTTTATTTAGAATATTACAGTATTTAAATTTAAATTGTAAAGAGAAGTGAAGCAGGACAGCAAAGGGTTAACCCTTCACTCAGCAGCAGCACGGAGCATAAATGTACTTCAATTACACTGTAACAACTGAACTTAGACGTTCTAAAATAATTAAAAATAACTTAACACATATTTTGTGGTTTTGATAATTTTACGTTGTGACATACTTTTGAGTTTTAAGTTGGAAGACACAAGTCAACCGGTGCAGCTGGACAGCAAAGGGTTAACCCTTCACGAAGCTTCTGCAGCACGGAGCACAAATGTGGGGGTGGCAGAGAGCTGCAGGTGGCAGAGAGCGGAGATCATTACTCAGCAGGAGGAAACTTCTCCTTGCACCTGTGGGCTGCATACAGGTGCTAAATAATTTAAAATAATTTATTTTAAATAAACAATCCATGCTGCTCTTGCGGCTCATCCATCAATCAGCCAATTGTGTGTCATGTCCAATCTTACTTTGAAAAACCACGAAAGAACGAGTCCGCAAAAGTCAAACCGCGAAGTAGCGAGGGACTACTGTACTTGCTATAATTTTAAAGAATAAGAAACGCACTACGAGAAGGTGCTATGTATAAGACTGAGCTAAATACAGCTCCTCAGACTGAATAAGTCTTTTGGATGAAAGACGAAACTTTTCTACTTTTTTGGTTTGTTTCTTGAACGTCCAGAGGACCTGACAACTATTTATTTATTTTTTTTAGATTTTTCTACCTGGATTATTAAGCATGCATCAGGATAATAAGAAACACACTTTGATATTTGCCCTTAACTACTGATTTTTTTCTTCATAATTGGTTCAAAACGTTTGAGTTATGTTAACACATGAAATGTATTATCTATACAATATATTCTCATTGATAGATAGTATATCTGGTATTTGAAACAGTGCTTTGAAACATGATAGTTTTCTTGCCTTTCATATTTTTTTTGTACCAAGTATTTGCAGCGTTTTTCACCTTAGTTGCTCAGTGCTTTATTTCTCTAAAGATGCATTCCATGTGGTTTGTGTTGCAGGACTCAACACTCTGCCCTTTGATCCATCAACCAACAACGACCCTCTTCATTTCAACAGTTCCAGTGGTCCACTGGTGACCGAGTGCGCTCCCTTGGAAAACACTGCTGACAATAGCAAGAAGAGGAAAAGAGCCAGTCTCCCTCCAGGTACTGACTCTCTCTTACAAGAATTGTCCCATTGCTGTAGGGTTAGGCAATGGACTCTAATGGTCACTGCTTTATCCACAGCCATGAAATTCTAAATCCAAGTGGCTAAAATCCCAACAATGTCTCTGTTCACTCAGGAGAGTTTAGTTACAATGGCAAGATTTCATACCTTGCTATTCCCTCCTAACAATAACCAATGACTTTAGTGGGAATTGTGCCTAATCCTATTATTGGGTAGCAGTATGGACAAAAAATGGCTCATTTCAGTCTTTGTTGTTTTCCATTACCTTGCCATGTCCTGAGGCGATGTTGTCTGGCCTGTTTAGGGGTTGGACACCTCCAGCAGGAAACTGCTCCATCGAGGTTGTATGTGTGCTTGAACGTCTGTTACCATAACAACACAGTCTGCCAATCACCGTTTCAACACGTCTTCACGTCTCCCGCACAAACACTGACTTGTCATCGGGTAGGGAGGCACATGGGAGAAGATGTTTGGGTCTATGTGTTTATGTGAGCGTGCTATAAATGAACAGTAATTTGAGTAAGTGCTAGGTCGCCTGGTAATGCATCAAATTAAAGAAGGGCTTTCTAATTAAAGAATTAAAGAAGTTCTGACTAATTAATTGCTTTGTAAGTAGAAGGAAGAAGGCCCTTTAGTCAGAGAGGTGCTGTTCTGTGTTCTTTGCTTCCCTGGCAATGATAATTGGTTTGGATTAATGCTCCACATTAACAAGCTCTAATCAACTTTTCATCTTTTCTTCACATCTTTACATGGATCAGTTCACGACTTGATGACTTTAATTTCATTTTAATTTACTAATTTTGACTATAGCCGGACATTTTACAACGCATCGTCTTCAAATGAGCTGCCCAGTATCGAGAACATTCCCTCGACATGTTGATATATACAGTTTTGATCATTAAAGGTTCTAGGCAGTAACTTGTCTATAAATAGATTTTGTGGAGAGAAAGCTCAGATCGCATGTGAGGATTTATGCACCCATTTCAGTGCTATCATTTAGATATGAGCAATGAAAGCTCGTTGCCTTCAATCAGAAAACTGATTGGAGGCAACGCTGACAGCCTGCTGTCATATCTGTAGCACAGAATCACTCTGTCAGTGCGACGAGTGCAGGATTTCCTCTGCTGTTGTTGTGGCAAAACTTGGGAATATTAGTTTTTTTTTTTCTCTTATGTGTTTCTAGAGGGAGCGATAAATCAAAAATTAAAAAGAACAATGAATATTTAGTATAATTTATATCCTTGAATATGAAACTAAGAAATAGACAGAGACATTAACAGAATTTTAATATCCATATATCCATGCGCGTTTTTGGTCTATGGGAGGAAACCGGAATACCTGGAGAAAATCCATGCCCAGAGAGAACATGCAAACTCCACCCAAAAAGTCCCCCCCTGCCGGGATTTGAACCGGCGACCTTCTCACTGAGAGGCAGCGACTCTACCAACTGCGCCACCATGTCGCCTATAATTTTATTATCAACTACAAAAGCCATTGCAGTCTGAATGCTGTTTTTTGAACGTTTAAGTGATCTTTAGTTTTGTTGCTCTTTTGGTCTTAACTTTGTAAACAGTATAATGTGTTATTTAAGCACAAATTTAATCAGAATTTTTATTCTTCATTGGTTGTCAGGTTAAATAAGACGTGCATTATCCTAAATAAAACAATTATGTATTACTTTGTGCTTTGTTAAACAACAGACAATAATCTGTTTCTACAGTTAATGTAGAGGTTAACTGGAGTTGAAATTGCTTGTGGTAAAGGCTTTGTTTCATTAGATATATGCTTCTTATAACACATTTACAACCCTGAATATGAATCATTTGTTGTTTAATTTTCTTTCAATCTTAAGATTAAATGTTCTTTTTAGATATCTAAATTCTATGTTATCTATATATATATATATATATATATATTTATATATTTATATATCTGTGTAGCCCTTGCACACATCTGTTTAGGTGCAGAGGCTTTAGTGTCTGTAGCTACGCTACTTGTAGCAAACATGTGACCTGTTATCTTGCTGTGCTGATAACGACTTTAATTACAAGTTTTGTCTGACTTGAACTCCCGTGACCCGATAGGCTGCCTGCAGTTATTGCTATGTGCTTGAACCCTTTGACGGATTGCCGGGTTAGTGGAGGGCTAAAGCAAATGGAGCTGAGGACTTATTGCCTCATAATGTCGGATTCTGTCTGCCTTCTGTCTTCAGTCTCGGTCAGGTCCTTCATCACCTCGATAAAGCACCGACTCATTAACAACCACATTGACCAAGCGTCATTAAGGGACAGTAATGGATTGATTTTTTTTTTTTTTCTTCTTCTTCTTTCTTTGCAATTACTGTTCGACTTGAGAACTCACTATACATGTGTGCTAGCATTGGTAACGGTACTTTTCTGTATCATTATACGTTTGCATTTTCTTCCAGTTACTGGTGAAAACTAAATTAAAGGGTAATTAACTGCCTGCTTTATGCGGAAGTGAAGTCTTCTTTTATTAAATTATCTATTGCTGATCTTTAAACTGCCACACTGCAGCCAAACAACAAGCATCCCTGTATAAATATACATATATACAGCAATTAGAGCTCTCACCTCCTGTAAACGGTAAAAGCAGACGTGTTTGAAGTTGAGTTCATATTCTGTTCACTCAGTCTTAAAATAGACACTCGACTCTCAGCCTCTGTGTAACTATTTTTATTTTAAGCAGTTCACTCAAAAAATGTTTCTGAGAAATGGATTTTAAATCATGTTTGTTTTATAGAATGTCTTATTTTTGTTGTGTCTAATGGAAAACAGCCTTCAGCTTTTGTTGGGAGTATTTTGTTATTAAAAAGCTTTTATTAAGGGTTTTCTCCGGGTACAGTAGCCCCTCGATTATCGCAGTGGTTACGTTACAAACATCACCGCGATAGGTGAAAAAACGCGAAGTAGGAACGCTATATTTATTTTAAGAAACCGTCCAGATGACCTGAGTGAACATTGTTGGATTTTTTTCCTGGATTATTGAGCATGAACCTTGATATATTTATTTTAGTATTTATGTATATTTGAAGGCTATATAAACTCTTCCCACACTCTTGCAATGTTCTAAACTCTTAAACTTACATAATTTTAACAACAAACATATATGTACTGTTAGGGCTGGACAGTAATTTGATATTGATATACAGTATATCACAATATACTTTTATTAAATAACGTTGGTATGAGTTTTAAGCACATTTTTGATATTTCAATATGCATTACACTTTGATTAGTGTTTCACTAACACATTTCTTTTTCTGTTCGGGTTGAAGCGGCCGCTTCAGTTTCAACCCGAACAGAAAAAGCTGCAATACATAACTACGTAAGTGCGTGGTGACGTGCACCATACACAGAGCTCGAGTCCAGAAGTAGTCAGCGGTAGCAGGCTAGGCTAGGCTAAGCTCCAATGCGCAGTAAGTTTTCACTTCAAAATGAGTGCCCATGACCGTCAGAATGTGACTGAACAGGCTTTCACAAGTGAAGAGAAAGTAGATGACATAATTGATAAAAGAAGAAAGACTAATTCAGCAGTGTGGAGGTGGTTCGGCTATCTAAGATCCGATAAACTGCAGGTTTCAGTGTGCTGCAAAATGTGCAAGAGAGTCGTTCCAAGTAGCGGTGGGAACGCATCTAACTTGTTCCACCATCTGAAGAGTTTCCACTCGATAGAATATGCTGAGAGTCAGAAGATGAAGCACAATAAAAGTTTAAAAAGTTTGAGCCAACATGTCCCTGAAACAACACCCCCCACCCCCACCCCCAGCTGTATCAAAGGAGAAACCCATGCAGCAAACACAACTGTTTGCTGCATGGGTTAAGTTAAAACTGTTCATATTGACAAAGTTGAGTTTTATGTTTATTTGACGGTGATTTCAAATTTCTTTGAAGGCTAAATACAAATAAAAGGTGAACATTAATTTGTTAGTACAGTTTTTCTGAGGCTTTTATATTGTTTATATCGTTATCGGAATTATATCGTTATTGACCCAAACGAAGAAATATATCGTGATTAAAGTTTTGGCCATATCGTCCAGCCCTATGTACTGTACAGCACTGCAAAATTTTATTTGGGTACTCGCCAGCTCTGCAGACCAGCAACTCTGTTCCGGTCTAGCTCGGTTCAGGTTCTGCAGACGAAGCCCACCACCCCGTCCAGGTTGATACGTGCGTGGATAATTGAGCTTCAGGAAGCTTCAGGATTATTTGAGACTTTCCTGCCAGTTCTGTGATCTTAATAAATACGTTGTTACGTCGACTAGGCGTCGCAAAACTATCCCTCCGTTTCAACAGAAAGCAGCGGCCAGAAGCACTGTTGGCTTCTGGGTAGTGTAGTTCTTTTGACTTGCGTTACAGTGTATACTTATTGAAAGGGAACTAGAAAATGGCGGCGCCTGTCCAAATATTTTTTCTTTAACTTTTTATCGTCCCAGTCACAAGTAATATTAAAGTTGACAATCGTGTGTCATGTACAATCTTATGTTGAAAACTGCAAAAGAGCGAGTCTGCAATAGTCGAACCGCAAAGTAGCGAGGGACTACTGTACTCTGGTTTCCTCTCGCATACCAAAATCATGCATGTTAGGCTAATTGGTAACTCTAAATTGTTCCTAGGTGAGAGTGAGAGAGTGAATGTTTGTCTGTGTCCCTGTGATGGACTGGAGATCTGTCCAGGTTGTTCTGCCTTTCGCATAGTCAGAATCAGAATAAGCTTTGTTATCATTGCACCGATGTACAGTGAGATTATGTTCGTACAATCGTCCAAAAGATGGGAGGAGTGCACGTTGTTGCTCCTCCTGAGAGCGCGGCGTAAGAGTGACTGCTGGATATGGGCACCAGTGACCCCCCGTGACCCGAAAAGGAAGAGGAGAGTAAAAGATAATGGATAGATGTATATTTACACAATTATTTCCTCTACAGTATGAGGTGAGGCACTTGGCTGCCATCTTTGCCCTT